AGGCTAGCCTGCTCAACTTACCAAGATGATCTCAAAGATGACAGGGCTGAAGTATATAGCTCAGCATTACTAGGCATGGGGTCTCAAAGCAAATCAAAAAGTAAAGAGAGTTTAAAAATGCATTTGTTGCCAATGTGTTCATCTGTGCTTGTAAACCCAGAATGCAGGAAGCTGAGATGGAGGACAGTGGACAGGCTGACAGTTGGTACCCAACCTGGTCAGTATATAAAGTTCTAGGCCAATCAGAGTTATATAAAAAGAACATGTCTTCATAATCCCATCAATAAGACGATGTAATCCAGAGGAACCCACATTCAGAGCTGTCCAGCTATAGAACAAGCTTGGGGCCAACATGGGTTGGGGGGAGGAGAGTGCAGAAAATGAACAAACCTGTTAAAGTTAAGGCCACTGTGTGGGTTTGCTTACAGAACCCTTGGCAGAGCAGAGTCTAAGAGGTTCTGACTGAGGTCCTATGTAGAAATAAGGGCAAATAGGCCCAGTAAAAGTGCCCCTGAAAGTATAGAGGTGATGTTTCTCAGGCATGCTGTAGAAGGAAACCTCTCCTAGTTCATAGTCCAGGAAAACACCAATGCTTGTGGCTCTTGAAGCCGTCAGCTGAGACTCTGGGTCAGCTCCTGAGACACTGAAGCTGTCCCCCTGACAAATAAGACTCCAGCATCCCTGGGGGTTAGAGGACCACCTTTGTTTGATGGATAAATCAGCTTTGCAAATACCAATAGCACACTCTGGCTTCTTTCCTACCCACACCTCCCAGAAATGTCTCCCAGAATTAAAATGTGGAACCCCCAACACGACAGGGCTCTTGGTAAAACTTGAAGAATCAGGCACACTCTGTCTTTCGTTTGTAAATGTCACACATGTTCTATCCTCAGAAATCAGCAGGTTTGGATGGGCTGTTTTCAGGTCTAGAGTAACATCATCGGTAAATTGCTGTATAACTTTCTGCAGGGCTGAATATTGGAGAGGAAAGTTGAATGCTTCTCTTCTCAACTGGGAAAATGGGTGGGTGGGTTGATGAGCCGACTATTAAAATTCTGGTAAAAGTCACTGACTGTGGACAGCATCTCGACTTCAGAGAACTCTGTGGTCAGCGTCAACTGGCTCAGGAGGTCTCTGAGCATGGTGCCATAGCGTTCTAATGTTGCTATGTTATCAAACAGTGTCTTCTCAAGCTTCTTCTCCTCATTGTCTAACCTGGAGAGAGCTGCCTGCTGTTCCCGATCTAGAAACAGGACAAGCCGCTCAAACTCAGAAGTTAGTTGCAACCTCTGTGCTTCTGCCTCCTCCCTCAGGGCCCGCATGCTTTGCGTGTTCATTAACTCTTGAACGTGTTCCATGTGCCACTTGAGGAACTTGATATAGCCCTGAAGGTTTTTCCTGTGGAGAGAGGCAGCCTCTGTAATTGATGTCACCTGATGGAGCTCGTGGTTCTCCTGCTCCACGCATTGGTCACACAGCAGCTGCAAGTCATTCTCACAGAAGCAGGTGAAGCCCTGGTTGTGCTTCTCGCAACTGGTGATGCTTTCCTGGTGCTTCCTTTTGCTCTTCATGCCTTGGAACAGCTGGGCAGTTTCAATCACTTTTCCAAGCTGGGCATTGCTTCCAAGGTTCCTGTGTTGGCAGACAGGACAGGACACAGCTGGCTGCTCTGCCCAGCATTTTTTGATGCAAGAATGACAGAAGTTATGTCTGCACTCAATGGTGACTGGGCCTGTCAGGTCGTCCAGACAGATGGGGCATTTGCTCTCTTTCTGGAGTCTGGCCAAGACCTTGGCCTGCGCCATCAGACTGGGACTAAAGGTGGGCTTCCTTCTGAAGGTTGGCTCTGGTGTGCCCTTTAGGGACAATCAGACCCACCTGGAAACAGTTGTCACCCCTCTGTTGTCTCCTGGGTTTTCCAGAATGGTGAAGGCCTTGAATCCTTTGTGGTTTTACCCTGGATATTTCCAGTTGCCAACAAGGTCCTTCACACGTGCCCCACAGCTAGTGACAGCTCCAGTAGACAGCTACTCTTCTAGACGCTGGTAACTCTCAGTTGGTTTGAGTAAACAAGGAATTTCTTTGAAAGAAAGAAAGAAAGAAAGAAAGAAAGAAAGAAAGAAAGAAAGAAAGAAAGAAAAGAAAGAAGGAAGGAAGGAAAGAAAGAGAGAGAGAAAGAAAGGGAGGAAGGAAAAGAAAAGAAAAAAGAAAAGAGAAAAGAAAAGAAAAATAATAAGTGTCTTTCAGATGGTCCCATTCAATACCTGGGTCCCCTTAAACTCAGAG